GCTATCTAAAAAGGCAAGCTGCAACACTGACATGCACAACAAAGTCAAGACAAATGTCATGTCTGTATCAGGTGGAATTTTTGCAGTGATATGCTCTTTCCGTACGGCCCCAAGAGGAATTTTAGTTAAGACTTTTTTTTCTTCCCTGCTGTTCCTAGTACAGTCATCAAGAAAAAAATACCACTTCAAAATAGCCAAATTTATTTATTTATTATGACAAAATTTGTGTTCTGCAATCAAAAGCCTAAAAGCAATTTTGGAGCTTGGGATTGAGATGCCCGAGTTGAGCTGATACCAGTCAAGCAGGTTGTTGGCAGTTACAAACTATCAAATATATTTGAATTATTTTGTGCAATGAATCTGCAAAGGCTGTGAACCAAGTGGCACCGCTCCTCATTTGGATATAAATCTACAGTTTTCTCCCAGCACTACCTCAAAGGCAAAGACTTCAGCTACACAGGGCCAGATTAATTTCTGATGGTTCTGCACTTTGCAAGCGCTCTTTAAACACAGTCAAGATAATCTTTCCACAGAGTATTTTATTTATCTGCAGAAGCTAAAACTGAACTCACATATTTTCAATACAGCTATTTCATTACAGTTTTTAGGGAGTTCATCTCGTATCTGTCAGAGGGCAAAAGCATGAGAATAACTGAAGTTTTTTAACTTGACTTTTCTTTTTCTTAGGATGCATTCCTGTTAGATTTCTAAGCTTTCTTCCACTGTCACAGGTATTAAAACACGAAGGCCTAATCTTTAACAATGCTTGTGTTAAGGGAATAATTTTTCACCAACATATGCTGCAACAGTAAAGACTACTATTCTTTTTCCCTGGGGGCAGTAACAAAGATAACGGAGTGGAGGACCAGGTTATGCACAGCAAGGTAAGTACAAGACTAGTACCCGTGATACACCAAAGTATCAACACCTCACCACTTAGTTATTGCTTGGGATTGCATATGCTTAGAACCATCATCCTACCGCAGTGGTTACTGTGTTATGTGATTTTTAATACTCCACTTTCCTTTCAGCATGCAGTCATTCTGCTTTTTAAAGGTGAAAAATGTCTGTGGGTATTTCCAGCAGACGGGAAGGACAGAATAACAGATCTGTATACAAATCTGAGAAGAATTTGCCTTTAGGATTAATCATTTCTACAACAAAAAGAGCCATGCTTAGTAAAGTGTTTATTAATATGCAGTGTTTTTTCAGTCTACTAGAATTAATTGGAACATTTTATCCATTAATCATGTAATTCCATTTCAAAAAATCTCAAACTCGTACAGGCCAGAAAGAACTTTCAACTCAAATTTCCCCATTTGGTGTTTTCTCTTGCTTTGAAAAGCACTTATAGTCAGAATATGTACTAGCCATAGTGCAGCAGTAGTACTGAACATTATGATAGATAACATAGCTCACAAAGGTGCACAAACTAGATGTTTTCAAAATACATGCTGCTGTGCTGAAGCTGCTTTAATTTGAGGTTTTCATATATGTAGGTGGTTTTTTGGTTTTATTTTTTAACAAGCTCATCCTAAATTGTTCTTCACATGAGGTTCAGATAGTATGAGGAAAACAGTAAAACTGTAATATCCCCTTAGTATCCAACAGTTACTTCCAGTTTGCTTTATACCTTTATAAATTAAATTCTAAGTAATAGTATGCATTCCTTTTTCAGTCTGTCTTCTTTACAGCTTCCTGTTTTTTCTAGAAAAATGAATCAGACATTTGTTTCGCCAAGATAAAAAAAGACTACTGAAAATATTGTTGCAGTAGAGGCCATCCTGACAGAAAAAGGAAATGTTCATGAGACAATATCCTCAGCAAAAGGCATGCTTTTAGTAAAGTAAACCAGACAGTACCCCAAAACTACTCAAATAAATGCAAACATATGTCTGTATCTACAGGAAAAGTAGTACAAAATGGAAACTGACAGTGCTCCTGTGTCTTAATTGCATCCCCATTTGTTTCATATGCAAGCTTATGCTTCTCTCTCACCTTTTAATGTACTACTACTCTCTGTTACAAGAAATATCAGGCTTCACTAAAGGCAAATAGTGCCTGACAAATTTGGTGGCCTTCTGCGATGGGGTTACAGTGTTGGTGGATAAGGGAAGAACAACTGACATCATCTACTGTACTTGTGCAAAGCATTTGACACTGTCCGGCATGACATCCTTGTCTCTAAATTGGAGAGGCATGGATTTGACAGATGGACCACTCGGTGGATAAGGAATTGGCTGGATGGTTGCATTCAAAGAGTGGCGGTCAACGGCTCAATGTCCAAGTGGAGACCAGTGATGAGTGGCGTTCCTCCAGGGTCAGTATTGGGACCGGCGCTGTTTAACATCTTTGTCAGCGACATGGACAGTGGGATCAAGTGCACCCTCAGCAAGTCTGCTGACAACACCAACTGTGCGGTGCAGTCGACACGCTGGAGGCAAGGGACGCCATCCAGAGGGACCTTGACAGGCTTGAGAGGTGGGCCCATGCGAACCTCATGAAGCTCAACAAGGCCAAGTGCAAGGTCCTGCACCTGGGTCAGGCAATTCCAAGAACAAATACAGGCTGGGTGGAGAATGGGTTGAGAGCAGCCCTGAGGAGAAGGACTTGGGGGTGTTGGCTGGTGAGAAGCTCAACACGACCCAGCAATGTGCGCTCACAGCCCAGAAGGCCAATCGTATCCTGGGCTGCATCAAAAGAAGCATGACCAGCAGGTCAAGGGAGGTGATTCTCCCCCTCTACTCTGCTCTTGTGAGACCCCACCTGGAGTACTACTGTGTTCAGCTCTGGGGCCCCCAACATAAGAAGGACATGGACCTGTTGGAGCAGGTCCAGAGGAGGGCCATGAAGATGATCAGAGGGCTGGAGCACCTCTGCTATGACGACAGGCTGAGAGAGTTGGGGTTGTTCAGCCTGGAGAAGAGAAGGCTCCAGGGAGACCTTATAGCAGCCTTCCAGTACCTGAAGGGGGCCTCCAAGAAAGCTGGAGAGGGACTTTTTACAAGGGCGTGTAGTGATAGGACAAGGGGTAATGGCTTTAAACTGAAAGAGGGTAGATTTAGGTTAGATATAAGGAAGAAATTCTTCACTATGAGGGTGGTGAGGCTCTGGAGCAGGTTGCCCAGAGAAGTTGTGGATGCCCCATCCCTGGGAGTGTTCAAGGCCAGGCTGGATGGAGCTTTGAGCAACCTGGTCTAGTGGAAGGGGTCCCTGTCCATGGCAGGGGGGTTGGAACTAGATGAGCTTTAAGGTCCCTTCCAATCCAAATATTTCTATGATTCGATCTGTGATAATTGCTAAAAAGCAGCATGTCAAATCCTCAAAATTTAATGGATGTTTTGAGAAGTATTTGACTATAAATATACTGCACCAAATACTGGAATCAATTACAATGCCTAAGTTTTGGCAATTATTCGACAAGAAAATCAACACAAGAGTCTCCATATGATAATCTAGTGGGTCTCTTAAATCTGAGGCCTTTTTTAAAAAGCAGACCATCAGACATAAATAAGATTACTCCTTTTATCTAGCACAACCCCAGATCATGCAAGAGTTGCTTTCTGGAACGTATAGCACCTGAAACCACTTCTGGTGTCATAGACTGTTCATACATATCCATGCTGCAACACAAAACAGTGACCTGCCACAGCAGCATGAAACTTCATCTAAATGTTTGGCAATGGAACATCATGGCAAGTCTGTTTCTGTCAAATAATTCACAAGAGATGGTAGATCTAGCTGTTGATATAATTAAACAGAATTTAAGGAATCAAAGTTAGATCATCCCTCTGTCCTCAGAACAAGTCTACCATGGAAAGAAAATAAACATAATAATGTGAATCATTCAGTCACTGCAGACAACTGCTTAAAATAATGTTTCTCCATAGATTTGGGTGAGTATTGGCATGGTTAATGCCAAGAGCTATCCTCTTTATAATTTATGGACTAGAATTGCAAAGTTATTTGTGAAGTTACTGTACACTGAATTACAGTAGACAGATATAGAAGCCTACAAATTTATATTCCTGTTGTAATATTCTCATTACACACACATAATAACACTCATTACACACTGTAAAAAGGCACAATATTAAAACAAGATTTCTGCCTATCAGAGAAGTTTCTGCAACTGTCTTAACAGGAAAGGCATGGTCAAAAAAACTTAAAAGTTTTTAAGAAACATAAAGTAGATACTATTAGAGACAACTCCTTCATATAGGGGGACTGGACTATATTCCTACTACATCCTATGCTTCTACAAGATAGTCACTGTAAACCAAAATTTACATTAAGTAGTCCCATGGCAAAAAATTTTTGGCAAAACTGTTAAAGGATCAATTACTCAGATTTCCCATTCTCAAGAAAACATGAGGGTTTTTTTAATATTGTCACAAACAAACATGGTTGACACAACTCTTCTGTAATTTGCTTACATGAAAAAACTTAACTCTCAACATTTTTGCAAACTTTTGGTCTAAACTTTTTTTTTTCCAGGGGAAGCTATCAAGGCCCCAGCTGCTCACTTGAAGTTGGATGACACTTTCCATCTCATTAGAGTAAACTCAGCTTTAAATCTCTTCTTGTCCTAGCACTGCCATCAGTGCCTGGTGGATGCACCCCTCCCAAAAAACAACACAACAGGAAAACATGCAGCTGTACGTCATAATTTCTGATGATACTGTGAGAATTTTAAAGATGGAATATTTACATGCCTTTTTCATTTTCATTATTTCCGTTTCAAAAGCAGTTGTCTTTCCAGTCAGAGAAATCTCAGCTAAAAAGTCCTCACCACTTACACAATTTGAATGGGAAAGACATGTACATGGTCACAATTTGGACGATTAATCTTGGGGCCAGCAATTCAAGTTATTGAGACTACCTAGCTACTGAAGCATTCTGCTTCTTATTAGTTTTCATTAAAGTAATACAGCAGCCTATATTTTGAGAATTTTAAAGTTTTCTTCACCCAAAAGCAGCATGATGATTGGCCTCACAACCTGCAGGTGCACTTCCAAGGTGTCGCATGCTCCAAGCCCATGGTCAGCTAAAAACTCCTCTACATTCCTGTACCACTGTTTCAAGATGTTGCTGGCAGGGGTCCACACTCCATACACTACTTCTGTCAACACTAGATTGGTATTTTCTCTGGAACCTGAAAAGTAAAACTTCTATACATATTTTAGCTCCTTTTCCTTCTATTTTTAGTCTTTCTTTTGTTCATAAGAAGTCCAAAATAATTAATTCTGTTTAAAGCAAAAACAGGTAGAATCAATTAGAGCATATTTTCCCATTGTGTACCTCTTAACATGCTATTTACTTATTTAATAAATTTAGGAAAACGACCAAGCATTTTTTGAAAGTCCCTTTTCGGTAGCCTAAAATAACTACATTAATTATAATAGTTCCATCATATCAAGTACTTTGCCTATCCTAAAATAAGAATGCTGTTCTCACAAAGAGAGATACTCCAAAGAAGAAACTGTACATTTGTTGCTTGTATACTTGTTGTATTTGTGTATACTTGTATTTGTGTATACTTGTGTTTATGTGTTCCACCTCTGAAAAAAAATCCACTGGAAACCTGAGGAATAAGAAAACCCCACAAAAGTAAAATTTTGAGGCAAGAACTACTACAGCATGCTAAGAACAGAATTATTTTTTCTCATAACAAGACAGAATCCAGGGGAAAATAAAACCCTACATTCTAGTCATTGTTGAATAGGAGTTATCTAACAATATGCTGTGGCTGGGTGAAACAAATGGAGGCATCAGTGAACAAAATCAGCTTATTCATCATGTCAACAGGGTTATTTTAATTAACATCAAAAGCCAAGTACATCTGGTGAAAGTCCTAGCTAAGAGGTCTCCATGCTGGGACAGCTACTGAACACTTCAGTACACAGATCCCCTTACTTCAGCTGTTTGCAGGAAAAAATAATCATTACTTTTGGTACTAAAGAGAGAAATTACAAAGGGAAAAACCTTGAAAAGTAAGCTTTTGCCTCATCTTGGTAAGTGTTAAGCATTTAAAACAAACTGTTGCCTACAGAAGTTACGGAGAGTTTGTCTCCTCTTAGATCATGAACAACAATCTACAACTCTGAAAACCATCTAGTGATTTTGAGAGCCTCATTTGGATAAATGAGGAATATTGGCAATATCAGATAATAAAAAATTGAAATAAAAGCTTGAAACAATATTTGGACTATTAAAAAAGGATAAGAAGTGCTCTTAGTAATCCTCTGTAGCTAATGAGGAAAAATTTTCACACGATCTGTAAAATCGATAAATCATTTACACAGACTAAAGACATCACAGATTGCAAAACAAACTTCCTGCAAGCCAGTGATAAAGCAATACATAAAATGCATTGTGGGCGGCATCTCCCATACTAGAGCATGTCAGCTTTTTGTAAGGGAATAAACAGGCTGGAATAGGGAATACAAATTCTCTAGGGGCATTCCTGACTTTCATGTCATCTCTCTACTTGGACAGGGGACCAAAATGCAATCAGAGTCACTGGCTATCAACTAAGTGGCAAACTGTTCTGTTAAAAGTGCAAAAGGGAACCCTTGGCAACAAAATCCCATAACTGAGTCATTAGGGTTCTCCATACTTATTCAGGACCTGCTTGAAGTATGGGTCGTCTGGTCCTTCTTGAGTAAGGACACAAGAGCAGAACAAACCCATCACTTCTAAATGTAAAGTTCTGGGACTCTCTTTTCTCTTTGGGAAGACGAGAGACAGAATTCTTTCCATTGAACTTCCACTGAAAGACATATTCTCACCGACTCTTAGGCTCCAAGCACGAACTGCAACATACCAGAAGAGTCCTGACACATACACCACTGTCACCAGCAGCTCAGGCACCTGCACAGCAATGCACTCTGTCATTCTGGGACCCCTGCATAGCAGATGCAGGCAGTCAGGCTGCCTGATCTGACCAGCCCTTTGTCATTGTGGGACTCGAGAGAGAGAAACAGGTAGCTGAATGCTTACGCTGCAGTCAGAAGTCTCTCTCCAACAGGACTGCATGCTGAACAGAGCACCATCAGGTGTTGTGATCTCCAACTACTGCCTTGCACTACAGCCTTCCCCAGTCACGTCACTGTCACAAATAAAGCCCTGCCAGGTAACCAAGCATGTGTTTCAAATCCTATGTTTCACACCTTTATGAAGCAAGGAGGTCTGGGTCCTCTGCTTCTGGATTCGATCTTGAAAATGCTTAATTAAATAATTCCTACTCACAAGAGTAATCTATCTCAAATATGGATTTGTAAGACCAAACTTTCCATTTTCAACAAAGAAAATCAGTGTAACAATCACCAATTTCATTTTGCAAAGCATCTTTTCCAAAAGAGGTGTTTCATTGTACCAGGAAATTATCTAATTACATGTTCTGCAGCACTTTTTTTAGATTGTAGAGGTGATAAAGACACTTTTAAAACCTATCAAAACAGCTAAGCTTCTGTCTTTCCATTACATCAGCTTGTTTTTTTTCTGCTGACTTACAAAATCATAGAATCATAGAAGAACAAGTCCAACAGCACGTTTGAAACAACAAGAAAGCCCTATGAATTGTCTTAAAATAATAATTAAAAACAAACCCCCAAACACTGAAGTGAACTACTAATTCAAAATTAAAGTATTTGTCCAATTATGTGTGGCTGAGTGTGACACTGAAAAAAATGACCTGTCGCCTAACGTCTCAGACTTCCTGGAGACCCTTATTTTCCCTTTCCAGATGTAAATTAAAAGCAAGACAAAAAGAACAGTAAGAAGTGTTCCCAAGGGTGGAAAAACGTATAGTATTTTGGCTGGGTGACCTTCAGCTGAGGCTCCACTACAGCTGATCACATCCACAATCTTTGTACCAACAATTGTCTACAGAGGCCTTTACAAGGCTGTCAGAATAACTCTGAAACTGAGTTTTTTTAATATTCTTAATCTATTTGTGGAGGGAACTTAGAGCAAATCATATTAAAAAATTAAATTAAAGAAATGTAAACAGAACATTATCAAAGTAAAAGTCATTAAACCAGTAGCTCCAGAAATTTTCAAATAGATGACTTTTTTTTTTAATTGGAATTGTGCCCCTCTTTTTTTTCTTTTAATATGATGACTGATTCAATGTTTTTCTGCTTTCAAGTTTGGCAGAATTTGAAAAGGATGCTTTTTTAGTCCTGGGAATGTCACAAATCTCAAACCAGGATCCTTCCTAGCTTTGACAAGACACCTTTTACAACATACATACCTTTACTGACTACCCTCAGTGCTGAATCTTTAGCAAAACCTTAATTTCTCTTAAATGTCAATCATTTAATGTTCCACTTTTAATAAGTTGTAAATAGTCTCACTAGAAATCTCTTTTACTCTAGTTAGTCAATTTTACATTGTTCACTCTTTTACAGTGGCATAATTTCGTTAATTCTCCACTGCCATAAAGTCTTTCAGTAGCAGATAAAAATCAAAACGCCAAATATAAAAGATGAATAAAGAAGCACAACCCTCTGCCACCTCTAATGAAGATTATTTTTCTCTAAAATTATAATCTACCATTTGGGTGATGTCAGGGCTGAGAGACAGTGATGGCAGCATCTGTGAGATCATCCCATGACTGGAAAAGTCTTCATTAAAGGAATGGCTGTCAAAAAATTATATTAGGTATATCCTCTGCAGTATGAAGGGATGGTAAGAATCACTGGCATCACTACACCCCTCCTGCTAGCAGGGCTGCCATGTCAGTTAGGAGTTGTAGATTGCATAGACACGCATTTATTCAACATTAAAATCTGGTCCACAATTTTTACCTTAATTTCACATCACATCAAATTCTCATTTCTGACATGTGCCTGTGCAATTAAGCCATACGCATTTGCAAAAAAAATATTTTTCCTAACCTCTCAAGGCAAAAGCAGTTACATTTCTGTTTAAATATACACAGTACAATGAGTAAAATGACAAACATGTCTAGGAAAAATGTAGTGTCAAAATCAAATGTGAAATAAAAAAACCTTTTGTGAAGAACTCCCACACTAAATTCTGCTCTTTTAAGCTCAAAAATGTTGACCTTTTACTACATTCCCCACAAAGCTGTACAGTGATGACCACACAGTGCAGGCTGTACTCATTTACTGATGCAAAGCCTGCTTTGTTTGAGTCCCCAGATATCTAACCTAGGTGAATAATGGCCCTGGCAAGAGTCTACAGAGAAGTGTATCCACACAATGTAACTTCCTATGTGGCTCTAAAAGAAATCACACAGAATGGGTGTTAAGATTAGAAAAGCTACTTTTGTCCAAACTGTCCAACTAAGCAGACAATCCAAAGCCTTTCTCAAGTGGCAATTACTTTTATTCCTGAAGCTTTTGAAAATACTATATTTTGAGAAAATTCTGAAAACAACATTTGCATTTGCACCTTAATGTGTACAAAAGGCTGCTTAGGCAAACAAATGACACAAAACAGCTTTGTTTTGTTCTTTTTCTTTCTTCTTTTTTAAGAAAGGAGACTCCAAACCCACATCCCCTAAATGATTTATCAGGTAGAGAGACCTTTGAAAATATGGTCTGTATATCGAACAAACTCCAGTTGGGCAAGCTGCCTTCGTCTTACATCTGTGAAGTCTGCTCCTATGAAAAACTCTGTTCTACCTCCAAAAGTGTTTGGGGTGTTGCTGTAGTTTGCACAAACTATAGTTAGTTTTTGTAAACAAGCCCACAGGAGAAGGATATTAAAAGAGCAATCTGCAGTCCTCTCCAGGGATTTTGAACTCCTGCTGCTGGTAGAATGGTCAAGAATCACCAATGACTGCACTACAATATTCTGGTGGTTAAAAATCTGAGCTGCCCTATGGAAACACAAGCTTTGTATCCACTTAGAATGGTAACACTGCAAAAGGATGTAAGCTTACATTGTAAGAAACAACTTCCACGGAGCAAAAATTTAGTGTTTATTCCTGTACACTATCTGCTTCAATACACAGGAATTTTTCATGGACAAGAACAGACGCTGATCAGTTCTTAATACGTATGCCCTGCCTTATCAATATCGCTATAGATACTTCTGAGTTTCATGCTAGTGCCTCAATCTTTAACACACTATTTCACATGAGCTACTATAAAGTGGGAAAACATATTTTTCTAGTTTTACATACCACAAATGAAGGCACTGAGAGGTTATGTGATTTCCTAAGAGTCACACTCTGCAGCACAACAGGAACCGTACTGCTGTTTCCTTCAACTTAGGTCAGCTTCCCAATGACTCGTACTTCCTTCTTCTCTGATGCTGCTGTATTTAGGGGCTTCACAGTGAAGGTGAAGCCTAAAAAAACATGTCAATCAAGAAGTTTTGAGAACTTCTTTAAAAAACAAACCAAAACAAAACCCACACAGAATTTAAGTCTGCTAATGGCCTTTAAGAATCTCACATAAACAGAACTCTCACAGTTCAAATACAATTTTTTATTTTGGAAACACGATATACTTTAATACAACCTTTAAGAATTTCTTGACAGAAGACTCTTACTTCATTTTGTGATGCTTACACCATTGCTCACCAATCAGTCATTGAAAGATAGGAACATAGAACATTTAATAAAAACACCAAAGTAGATAGACTAGGAAAATTGATCACAGGTAGAAAAAAAGGACTTGTGGTACAGGGAAAAACTCAAACGTACCATGGAAGCGTCCTTCTGTTCACAAACCTGAAAGACTGTCAGAATATTGAACCCAAAAAGGATTAGGGACAGATCAATACCCAATGAACAAAAAGGAGCATTCTGACCAAGAAAATAGTGAGGGGCCAGCAGATGTTGCATAGGGTATAGGCAGACAAACAAGTTACTGCAGGAAAAGCTGTGCCTGGACTTGCAGCTTTACTATTGCTGTGCTTACACTGTAACTGCCTATGTGCATGCTATTAGCCATGAGGAAGTGCAAGATAGCTAACTCCTCTTTCACACCTCCCCTTATATTGTAATAATTTGTGGTGACACTAAGCAATTATTTCAGTTTTAACACAATACATTCTGTTCAGTTCTCTAAGCAAGCCTGTATCTGTCTCTTCACTGTAGCTTCAGTCACATCTGCCTTAAAAATAGTCATAGATAGAGAATACCGTGGTACAGTGCAACGTTCCCAAGTTTTACATTCTTGAAGAGTTCATACAACAGTCACAGGCATTAGCATTCACTCTAGGTCTGGACTTTGATTTAATCCACGTAAAAAAAATCCCCAAACCACCACCACCCCCCCTCCACCCCACATCACGCCCCCCTCCCTCTCTCTCTAAAATGAAGGGGGAAAATGCCACAAGTCTGTATGTTGAAATTCAGCCCACATGACATTTCCTTTGGATTTAATTGCTTCCATACAATTTGTATCTGCTAGTCACGCTAGGCCCAGAGCACTAAATACGCTGTTACAAAGAAGCTCTTGTCCTGTAATAACCTCCTTAATCAAAGAGATGGAATTATGGGTAAAACCAATTTTCAACTTCATCCAAAGCATCCAAACAGGAAACAAGTCAAAGCCTAACCACCGATTCTTCTGACATGATTTGAAAGAGTGAACAGTAAAAAGCTGGATAGGACAGACTTTACAGATTCTACGTCGTCAAACCTGTTCAAAAGTTGGACACATTCATCACCTTAGGAAGCAGTCAGCTCTACATACTGTCATTTACCAATTATGGAGTAAAGATGGTCAGGCAGACCATCTTTTAGATGTTGACTACAGCAGCTCACAAAAATTATAAAAATAAACCTACTATTCATTTTTCTTTCTTTGAGCAACCCAAACCATTAGTAAATACAATACCTTTTCAGATAGTTCTAGAAAAAACATCTGGCTTTCATGGTAGCATTCTTAATTAACACCTGTATCTATTCT